ATCAAACCGCATGCTCTGAACTGAATTATTTATAATTATAAATTTCGATTTCCAGACGGTACTGGTTACGCAGAGGATCTTCGGGATTTCTTCGAGGACGAAGATGAGTACTCCGATGGTGAGGCGGATCGAAAGCACTCTAAAAAGAAGAAGGGTGTTGCTCCCAACAGCAAAAAGAGACCACGGGAGGCTGAAAAAGCAGTAACAGGAAAAGCGTCCATCAAGAATCTATTCAGCAATGCAGTGCCCAAAAAGATGGACGTGAAGAACAGTGTAAAAGATGATGATATCCTGGCTGATATCTTGGGAGAAATCAAGGAAGAGCCTGCGGCGCCATCAGAAAAGGCGGAAAAAGTAATTGCCCCAGCTAAAGTAGCAGTTACCTCGCGTAAATTCGATGCCGCTGCTGCCAAGGAATACATGAATAGTTTTCTGAACAACATCAAAGTTCAGGAGCAGGAACGTAAGAAAGCGGAGGCCAGTAGCGATAACGAGATGCTGGATCGCATCCTGAAGCCCAAGGCAGCAGTTCCAAACACAAAGGTCGCCTTTTTCTCCAGTCCGACAATCAAAAAAGAGCCGGCGCCGGAAAAGACACCTGCCAAAAAAGCAACCGAAGATGCTTTCTCCGACAATGAAATGGATTTCAGCTGCCTGGATGACGATGAAAATCAGTTCGATGTGGAGAAGACGCAGCTCGAGGAGAAGGTTTTCCCAACGAAAACAACAGCTGTGAAGAAATCCCAAGCTAAAGTCGCCGGGAACGCATCGCCCAAAAAGGAAACAGGTGGTTCCCCAAAGGAATCGGAATCGGAGGACATAAGCAGGCTGCTGAACAATTGGGAGTCCATATGCCAAATGGACGATGACTTTGAAAAATCCGTGCTCACCACGGAGCAGGAATCGACAATCTCCTCCGATCAACAGCTGCGTTTCTGGTACTGGGAGGCCTATGAAGATCCAGTAAAGATGCCCGGCGAGGTCTTCCTCTTCGGGCGGACCGCCGATGGAAAGTCCGTCTGTCTCCGGGTACAGAACATCAACCGTGTGCTCTATCTGCTACCCCGCCAATTCGTGAGTGTTATCCTGAAAATTTAATTAAATCCTCATGTAAAATGTTTTTTGCAAACATATTCTTTAGCTCTTAGACCCCATTTCGAAGGAGCCCACCAAGCAAAAGGTCACAGTCGCAGACATATACAAGGAGTTTGACAGCGAGGTGGCAAACCAACTTAAGCTGGAATTCTTTCGATCCCGCAAGGTCACCAAGAGCTTTGCCCATCACTCCATCGGTATTGAGGTTCCGCAAACTTGCGATTACTTGGAGGTGCACTACGATGGCAAGAAACCACTGCCCAATTTGTCGGCTAACAAGAAATACAACTCCATAGCACATATATTCGGTGCCACCACCAATGCACTCGAAAGATTCCTCCTAGATCGGAAAATCAAGGGGCCCTGTTGGCTGCAGGTGACTGGATTTAAGGTGAACCCCGCTCCCATGAGTTGGTGCAACACCGAAGTCACACTGACAGAGCCCAAAAATGTTGAGTTGGTACAAGATAAGGGAAAACCAGCGCCTCCACCGCCACTTACATTACTAGCGCTTAATGTTCGCACCTCAATGAATCCCAAAACATCGAGAAACGAGATATGCATGATTTCGATGCTGACCCACAATCGTTTTCATATCGACCGTCCTGCTCCTCAGCCCGCTTTCAATCGACACATGTGCGCTTTGACCCGTCCGGCGGTGGTCAGTTGGCCTCTGGATTTGAACTTTGAGATGGCAAAGTATAAGTCCACCACAGTGCACAAACATGACTCAGAAAGAGCCCTATTAAGCTGGTTCTTAGCTCAGTACCAGAAAATAGATGCAGACCTCATAGTAACCTTTGATTCCATGGATTGTCAACTAAACGTGATAACCGATCAAATTGTAGCCCTGAAGATTCCTCAATGGTCCCGCATGGGGCGTCTTAGGCTGAGCCAATCGTTTGGCAAGCGTTTGCTGGAACATTTTGTCGGCAGAATGGTTTGTGATGTAAAGCGGTCTGCCGAGGAGTGTATAAGAGCCAGATCCTATGATCTGCAAACGCTATGCAAGCAAGTTCTGAAGCTTAAGGAATCCGAGAGAATGGAAGTGAATGCAGATGATCTCCTGGAGATGTATGAGAAAGGAGAGAGCATCACTAAGCTCATATCGCTCACCATGCAGGACAATTCATATTTGCTAAGGCTGATGAGTGAGCTCAACATCATGCCGTTGGCGTTACAAATCACCAATATTTGCGGCAATACCATGACCAGGACCCTTCAAGGAGGTCGTTCTGAACGGAATGAGTTTCTATTGCTACATGCTTTCCACGAGAAGAACTACATAGTGCCGGATAAAAAGCCAGTTTCCAAGCGCAGTGCTGCGGGAGATTCGGAGGCCACGTTGTCAGGTGCAGATGCGACGTTGCAAACCAAAAAGAAGGCAGCCTATGCCGGTGGATTGGTGTTGGAGCCCATGCGAGGTCTCTACGAAAAGTACGTTCTCCTTATGGATTTCAACTCCCTGTACCCCAGCATAATACAGGAGTACAACATATGCTTCACCACTGTCCAACAGCCCGTGGATGCAGATGAGTTGCCCACTCTACCGGATTCCAAAACGGAAGCTGGAATACTACCCCTCCAACTAAAACGTTTGGTGGAGTCGCGGAAAGAGGTGAAAAAGCTAATGGCAGCGCCAGACCTTTCGCCGGAACTGCAGATGCAGTACCACATTAGGCAGATGGCCCTGAAGCTAACTGCTAACTCCATGTACGGTTGCTTGGGTTTCGCCCACTCCCGGTTCTTTGCCCAACACTTGGCTGCTTTGGTCACCCACAAAGGCAGAGAAATCCTCACAAGCACACAACAGCTGGTGCAAAAGTTGAACTATGACGTGGTTTATGGAGATACAGATTCCCTGATGATAAATACCAATATAACGGACTACGATCAGGTCTACAAGATTGGTCACAGCATTAAGCAGAGTGTAAATAAGCTGTATAAGCAGCTGGAACTGGATATCGATGGAGTATTTGGCTGTTTGCTCTTGCTGAAGAAAAAGAAGTATGCCGCTGTCAAGTTGAGCAAGGATTCCAAGGGAAACCTGAGGCGTGAACAGGAGCACAAGGGCCTGGATATAGTTCGTCGGGATTGGTCTCAGCTAGCTGTAATGGTGGGAAAAGCCGTTCTCGATGAAGTGCTGTCGGAGAAGCCTTTGGAAGAAAAACTGGATGCAGTGCATGCCCAGCTAGAGAAGATCAAAAATCAAATCGCAGAGGGTGTAGTACCGCTGCCACTGTTTGTCATCACCAAGCAGCTAACTCGGACTCCCCAGGAATATGCCAATAGTGCTTCATTACCCCACGTCCAGGTGGCCCTTCGGATGAATCGAGAGCGTAATAGGCGCTACAAAAAGGGCGATATGGTGGACTATGTGATCTGTTTGGATGGCACCACAAATGCCGCCATGCAGAGGGCGTACCACTTGGATGAGCTCAAGACCAGCGAGGATAAGAAGCTGCAGCTGGACACGAATTACTACCTGGGACACCAGATCCATCCGGTAGTCACGCGAATGGTGGAGGTGCTAGAGGGAACCGACGCGAGTCGCATCGCCGAGTGTCTGGGCATGGATCCAACCAAGTTCCGTCAGAACGCTCAGAGGTATTTACCAATATATTAGTCCATACAAACTCGAACCTAACTAACATTTCGTTTATATAGAACCCAGCGAGAGACCACCGAGCAGTCGGAGGGCGAGTCCCTCCTCAAGACGACGCTCCAGTTGTACCGCCTGTGCGAACCGTTCCGCTTCCAGTGCGTTACCTGTAAGACGGAGCAGCTGATGGCGACTGCTTACCGACCAGGACCAAGCAACTCCCACATAGCCGTGCTCCAGCAATGCGCAAATTCCGAGTGCCAAACAGCACCGATTCAGTACCTGGCCAGCGTCCGCAATCGGCTGCAGCTTTCCATGCGGCAGTATGTGCAACGATTTTATAAAAACTGGCTGGTCTGCGATCACCCCGATTGCAACTTCAACACCCGCACACACTCCTTGAGGATGAAGTCGCACCGCCCGCTGTGCCAAAAGTGCAGGAGCGGCAGCTTACTGCGGCAGTACTCGGAGCGGGACCTGTACAATCAGCTCTGCTACCTGCGATTCATGTTCGACCTCGGAAAGCAAACGCTGCAGCAAAAACGTGAGTAAATCCAAGCATTTATAAACGTTTCCACAAAAATTAAAACCATATTTTGGGTAAATATGTAAGGAACAAGAGAACGCTGAATTTAATAGTGGGAGTATGAGGGAAAAGTTCCAACGTTTGTTTAGAAAGACACCCATTAAAATAAAAACACAATTGAAAAGAATTGGGCGTGACGGCTTTGAGCGGTTTGAAGTTGTTAGAGTGGGCGTAGCTAAAGTATTTGTGGCATCCCGGTATTACAAAATAATGAAGGTATCTGCATCCTTCATCTCTGGCATTTATAGTTTCCGTGATCTGAACGGGAATGGAAAATTTTGAATACAGTGCTAAAAATGCAACTTTACCATTTACCATTTGCTCGCATCCGTACATTCTTATACAATTTTGGTTTAAATATTTATTATTACACATACAAATGCATACAAGTACTTCCCTTAAGATTAATAGCATTAAGTGTCACGGCACTTGATATCCTGAACCTATTTCAACTCTAGATTAATAATGAAATTATATTTCTTCATATTATTTAGCCACCCTCACCCCGGAGCTGGAGCAGGCCTATCAACTCCTATACGAAACGGTGGACCAGCAGCTGCAGAGCTCCTCCTACGTGATCATCTCGCTAAGCAAGCTCTTCGCCCGCTCCCTGGCTCAGATGGCCCTGCAACCGTCCGTGGCGCTGCCCCCGAACGAATCAATCCCGAGTGCTTTGGCAGACGTCGTCTAAGTGTTTAATTAACTAGCCTTTGTTATAAGTTCCATAAAAATACTACAAAACAGATGCAGATGTGGTTAACTAGATGAGGTCACGCGGCGAGGAACTTCTCGAGGGGAAAGTGCCGGAAGGACTCGTTGAATATATCGGTAAATGCCGTGCTGACCAACTCGTTAATCATCGGCTTGATGAAGGGCAATCCCAGCTGCCACATGCTGTTGATGACTCCATCGGCCAGTTGGTTGAGGGGCTGTCCCTGCAGCAAGTTCTCAATGTGCAGCTCCATTCCGCCGATGCGGTCCACCTCCACATGGACTTTGATGAGCGAACCCGGACCCCCGATGCGACGAACGCTGGTGGTTTGACTGAGGAAGGAAATAAAGTGAGCGATAGTTTGTCATCTTGGCGGCAGTGGAGGCAATTTGTAAGCCAAAGCTTTCAACAATACTGGTGCTTGCAACACAGCTTGGGAAATACTTTCATGCAACGCGGTGCCCACCTGTAATCATAGAGGGTGAGGTTCCAGTGGCCTCTTCTGTTCATCTCAGTGCCCAGCATCTTGGCGGCGAACTCGTACTGCCCCTCCAAACTTTTGTCGGGGAAATACTGCGTGTAGACGATGCGTCGGTCCTCTGGATCGGCATGGAACTTGGTCACCTCGGATCGCGACCATCCGTACTCGGATACATTGCGCAATATCAGACGAAAGCTGCCCAGACCCTGTGAATCACCCCGCCGCAGCTCAACATAGCCACAGTAGTGCGGGTCAAAGGGCTTGATGTTGTAGTCGGGTACACCTGAAAGAGTTGCCCCATGATTGCTCGCCCGTAATTCAGATCTCACTCACCTGTTGTGAAGTAGGCCCTCAGGTCGTTGAACACCTGCCTCATGCACTCGTTGAAATCCTCGTCCACCCTGTGGCAGCGACCCAGCAAGTGCTTCAGATCCGCATCCACATCGATCTGGCTGGACGCGTTCGCCAAGTGAGTGGCAAAGGCAATAATCCCCACCAGGTAAACCAGTAGTCTAGCACAGTTTGAGGGCCACTGTTGCGACATGCTCGTCTTAGTTTAACGGCAACTGTTTGTTTAACAGAACTGTTTGTCGACTGTTAATTTCAAAGGTAAATGTACGTTGGGTTTTTATTGCGTTTATTGTTTTAAGTAAATTGACTTTGCGCGCGTGAAGGGCCACCGGTATTTGTTGTTTGAAGTGTCCTTTTCTATTGATTCGTATATTAATTATTTTTGCTATTGATTGATCAACGTGTTACAGTACTTTTTAGGTTCCTTAGCTTCAGTTAAATTTCAAGAAGGAACATGATACGAATTAGGCAATAAAATGAATGGCTTCAAAAATTATTGAATCTTCATAAACGAGGAAAGTGTCTATTATTTAATAATTTCTCTTAAAATACAAAAATTATTGTATTTAATATACAGTCTTTCAAGATACTTTGCGTTCTCTGATAATATTGCTACAATTGTCATCCGAATTTAATATTTGCATGCGATTCAAAAGACTTCCCTATTATAATAATTGCCATCGTAAAGACTTCTCCTAGCACCAAAAATAAAAGACACTTCTCATGGCAAGCCATTCAAACAGCCTCATCTTCAAGTAATTCGTTTTGTAATCTTTTTGTTCCCCGCCTGCACTTGACCCCTTTAACTTAAGCTCACCGATTATTACTGGTCTTAGTACTACAGCAAATAGATAGCGTGAAAAGAAAACTACAAACATGACAAAATCGTGCGGTGGTAACAGTGGTGAACGAAAGACTTCGACAAGACACAAACTTGGGGGTGCGAACAACTTTTATTTCCACTTAGAGGCAACCAGTCATGCAACACGATAGCAACAACGTATGATAATATTTGGCAATTGTTCAGTTTGGCGGTTGCATTTGCAACCAAATTGACCAACGGTCAGTTATTCAACAAAACAAGTTACCTAGCTACCAAGTATAGTTCAGTTTTGGAACTCCAGAGCTTTAGTTTCACTCCGAAGCTATTTACTTCTTCTTGTTCCGAATATACTGTAGCCAAATATGAAATTCTGGAACTCGTACGCAAAGGCGCGCAAATACTCGCGAATAATAATAGCTTTACAGTTATTTGCGCCGAATACGCGACGTGAATCTGGCGAGCTCCCGTAGCCAACTGAACCACTCCAAGACCGAGGAAACCCGAGAAAAAGAGCTTCCACCAAAAGTGGCAACAGCAGCCAAATGAGCCATAATAAAAAGCCACAAAAATAGCAGGAAAATGTTTGAAAGCCGCGGTGTGGCCGGGTACAAAATTGTGCTTTGTCAACTCGGCTTAGAGTTTGACACCCCCAAGTCGCGTTTCCTCATGTTCAACTTACGAAAATGAACAAAACGGTCGTAAATAGCCACCAGAAATCATTCATAAATTCCTTTAGAAATGCGTAGAAGTATTTAACTCAGCGCGATGCGACCTATCGGATACCCATTGCTTAGCAAGCTATTATAGAGATTATGTCATATAAATTTAAATCAACTTTAAAGTTTAGTAATGTACCACAAACAATTTACATACAAAAGAAATTATTTTGAAATTTAATAACATATAATGCATCTTAATATTTAATTAGTTAATATTTCTTAAGCTACAACAAAGAGTTGAACGATCTGGGAAATGAATATTTCCTTCGCCCGTCGTTTCCAAACAATAACCCATCATTGCTGGGCGAAAAGTGATCTGAATTTAATTAGGCAATGTTTATTAGGCAAGCCCATGTCCGACAATGGTTTTTTTTTCAAGTATCGCATCAAGTACTCACCACCAGCTCTCAAGTTCATGAAATTGAATAAATCAAGCGACGTGATTGACAATCAAAACGATTGACGACAAGCTGCCGGTGAGCGAGAAGAAGATTATGTGGACTGTTTTTTGGCAAATGGATCTCACAAGGTTGCAGCTTCAGATGTTATGGCTGATTGCAATTTAATGAAAGGACAAGGTCGCTCTTACAGAAATTCAAAACTGGGCTGAAATATACGCCAGCACTTTGTAGTACCTTAAGTGCGATAACAAATGGTGTGCGTAAACTGGAAATTCTGCTTTAATTTTGCTTGAAATGACTTCATTTTATTTCAATTATAGCCTTTACCACAATTTTTGTATTTTATTCTGTAACATTAACATGGCCGTGGGAAGCATTTTGTTAGTTCTTTATTATTAATTAATAATCATTATTAATAATAAACATTCTTTGAAGAGAGAAAATATAACTACAGAAGTAAAAACACATTTTAATTTAAAATTAAAAACAAAAAACAAATGCTCGTAAGAAAGCATTTACGGTGCTTTTATTATATTTTTGACAATTCTTAAGTCCAAAAGAAACTTGTATACTAATTTTCCAACTTTTCAATAATTTATCTTGTAAAGTTAATGTAATAATACCAAGTCAACAATTTTACACATTTATTACAATTAGCATGTTAACATGTTCTTATTGGAGTGCAGTATTTTCCATGGTGGTAGCGAATCGGTATTTTTCCCCTGCGCACAGAAGGTCATATTGTGCGGTTGCTGGTTTGTTTATAGTTATTTGGCCGCCAATTTCTCGTTAACTGTGGCTATAACCAGCAATAATGGAGGTGGAATTCAGCAAGGAGAACTTTCTGCTGCCGGAGTTGAAGTACGAGTGTGAGTAGCTCTTCGATTTGCATGAGACCCACCTGTTGCTAAATATTTCATCACATGCGTTGCAGACCTGGATCACACGGCGGATGTTCAGTGAGTAAGACAGCAACAACCACAACAACAATAACAAAGCTGCCCGTTGACCATGTGCAGTAGGGTGGTTCGCTATTTGTTGCTGAAAAATACGGATGATCTTATAGCGCAATTCTTATAAGCGCGTTTGTATAGGAATGCGAGATATGTTATGTGTTAGAACAATATTCTAATGACTTTGGTCAAACATTCTAGAAAAGGAAATTATTTTTCATACATATGCCAGGAAAAGAATAATACAGAAGATAGTGCAAATAGGAATTCGAGATATGGCAAACATTCTAAAAAAGGAAATTTTTTTCATACATATGCCAGCAGAAAAATAATATAGAAGCCAAAGAATAGTAACTTTCAAAGGTATCTTATGAAAGGCTTTTAAATTAGTTTTATAGTCTTGGATACGAGTTTGTTCAGAAAATGCAAATGATGTTTGAGCATTTGGAAAAATTGAAGACAGTGTATGAGTCATACCTTATCAAAGATTATGAATAATGGAAATCTTTATTTGGTTGTCTTTTATACTAGCACTCAGTTTTAAACATGTTTTTTAGGCGGCAAGTTTTTTCAGATAACCCTACATCATCCGCAGTTCTTTATTTCAATCAAAGCTTATTTCTTATATTAGAAGATTATGAATATTAATACTACTTCACTGCAAGGCAACAGTTTTTGTTATAAACATATTCTTAGTTTGACCGCATGTTAAGGGAAACAGTCGATTATTCTGATGGCTCCCCTCCCACTTAACAGAATCCACGGATGGGGATCGTCGCTGAAAGAGGCGTTTGAACAATGCGGAGTGGCCATGTTCGGATATATGACCGAACTGGATTACGTGTCCGTGGAGCAGTGCTTTGAAATCGAAGCCCAAGGAGATGATCTGGAGGGCTTACTCTTTCACTTTCTGGACGAGCTGCTGTTCCTGTTCTCCGCGGAACCGTATCTGGTGTGCAAGAAGCTGGAGATCACCAAATTCGATATGGAAACCTTCGAGATTTCCTGCCGCTGTTACGGGGAACCATTTGAGCTGGGAAAACATCCGCAGGGCACCGAGGTGAAGGCAATCACATACTCGGCCATGCAAATCGTTCAGGACGCGGAGGCCAGCAACTACGAGGTGTTTGTGATAATTGACATTTGAGCCAGCAGCGATCGCCGGGAATTAAATGTGACTGTTCTGTTTCAACCCCTTTGCCTGTCTCCATTAATCATAAGTGAAATGCCAAAAAACGATATAAAAACCGCTGCATAAGCCCCGAAAAATTTGCAATCTCTCGTGCTGCGACTGCATCCCTTGTCGATGAGGATGACTTATCAAGAAACCACTCGATTGTGCGGCTGCAAATGCAATTAGGACTGGCTTCCTTCTCACCGGTCTGATTCCGGAATCAAGAGTTACCCTTTTGCCTCCGAATTTTTTGTGTACTATTCACTTTTTTGCCCACGGCTTTGTGAATTGGCAACGTGTTGAATTCCCAGACAAGCGCCGAATTTGTTGTCCTTTCCCAGGCCCAGTTCAATGCACTTTTTATTTGGCAGCCTTCGGGAGTTGCTGAGGCGTTGGGTTTCATTAAGGACTTTGGTTGTCCTTCTTTTTGGGGAGTCATGTCGAATGCAGCAATTAGGAATGCACGTCAAGGCCATAGTCTAAAAGCTATGAATAGCTGATTGGTTTTTAAAAGCAAGTCACTGCTTAAATTATCAATGATACGGGGCCTACAAACGACACAAACTTACTTTTGTTATTTTGATAACTTACAATGTTGATAACAAGAAGTACAATAAAATTCGTTCCAAACTGTGATAAATATTTAGAACAAGTAAAATAACCAATCGTTAATTTCAAATCACAATCCCACGACGAAATCAACAAGTATTTTTATATTTTTAATAAAAAAAAAAACAGATTTCCTTTGAATAACGCGCTTTTTTCAAATTTCGCCGAAAATCGGTATTATTAGGATGATTTTCGCGTGAGCACAGATTATTTAGTGGCCGATGAGCGAAGTCAGCTGGTAACACCGAGCGATTTGTTTTGAAACAGCTGACCGTGCCGTCAAAACCCAAAAAGTAAACAACAAAAAAAACATTTGCCGGGCAACGTCGCCCAACATATGGGCTTGTGTAGCTGTGTGGGTGTGTGCGTGCGAGAGTAGCGGGATTATTCCTTGGAACATCGAGCGTACGGCGAACTGCAAAATATACGCTTTTGCAGCTGATTGATATTAAAAAAGCAACGCTGCGACACGACGAGCGATACGAAAGAGCGTGCGAAAGAACAAACAAAGTATGAAGGCAAATAGCCCGCGCACACACACGCACACACAAACGGCCAGTTGCTCGATTCGCTTTTAGCTTTTAGCTTTTCGAGTACGCCGAAGTGGAAGTGGCTGAAGAAAACCTGGTAAAAGTACCATCTCTGCTTACAAGACGACAGTTATTCGCGGTGATATTATATTCGGCGGAAAGTGGGTGGCGCAAACGTCAGTCGCCCGCCTGCTGTTGCTTTCCAATTCGCCCCGCCAATTCGCCGCACCGCTCATTCTTTCTGCAGCCACCAATTGTCATGGTGTTAAAGTGAAGAGGAAGCAGAAGCCCGTGAGCACATTGTGCGCTAGTTGTTGCCGTTTTACGCCCAGAAATCGGGAAGATATCGCCCTGCAAGCCCTACCAATCGACAGGTGACGTTCTCACCTGCAATTTGCGATCAAAAACAGAAAGCTAACCCAAGGGGAACCCAGTGAAAACGTGGCCGAAAAATCCATACGAAGGCGGAATGGAAAAAATGTGGTAGGTAGTACTAGAAGTAGAGAATGTGACATGTGTGTGTGCTTGGTTGTGTGTGTGGGGTGCTGCGTTGGGCATTTTCTTTATAACAGCGAAACAAAAAACAACTGTTTTCGGGCGTGCGCCCCCAACTGCCGGCTAAAAAGTACATATGCAAAAAATTGCATGCCGGGCCAGCTGACACAGCAGCTGCATTAAGAAGAAGACGTCGTGTTAGGTGAAGGGGCGCGGGGTGGAGCATCTTGGGGAAAAGGCAAGATGATAATGCGCACTTTATATAATTGCAGCTACCTGTGAGCCATCTCTAATGTTTCGTGCTTCTATCTGTATGCGTATGGGTGTGTGTGTGTGTGGATGTGTGGGTGTGAGGGTGTATGGGTGGGAGGCAAATGGCTAACGGATTCCTGTCAGATTCCAATTCATGGGATCTCTGCGCTGACGTCACTCCAATTCCATTTGCATCATTTCAATTTGATTTACCTCAAGTGTAAAGTCGAGCTGCAGACTACAGTGAGCCCCCCAAAAGCCAGAAAAAAGTCAATCATATAGGTATTACTACCTATCGAATTTAAAATGAGTTTTACAGTATAATTTGTAGTTATCGGTTCAATTATTTCACT